CATTTCTCGTTCTCGATATTCCATCGCGTTGGCGTGTTTCCTTTCTTGCATATCCCCCGCTCTAGGGGGCGGATGGCCACGCAGTTATGCGCGCTAGGAACCAGGCAACTGGGGCACAGAAAGCTCAAGTCGCATTCGGGGCAGCTCACTGAGTACGCCGAGCAAGCGGGCTTGTTGCACTTGCCCAGCATTCCCGGACATCTGAACTCTGGGACGTCGGCACCGTCGACCCCTTCTTGAAAGCATTCGTCGAGTATGTGGTAGCTTGAATCGCTCGAGCCAGGCGTGCATGCCGAACGCGATGGCGCTCCCGACGTCGCTCGGGGCTCGGGAGGCTTGCGGGCGATCCAGGTCGGATACTCGGCGAACGGGTCCTCGAGAGGGAGGTCATGATCGGGCTTGCCTCTAATCGTCCCGAGTATCTCGTCACGGCCCCCTCGGGCGAAGAAGGCGCCACGCGACTTGTGTCTCGCTCTACAGCTATCTCCGAACCTGAAGTGCGCGACTCTTCTGGCGGGCTTACTTTTCTCGATCGTTTGATCGCTGGCGACCTCGACAGAGTCACGTCGCTTCTGGGTTGTTTCGGCGTCGGCGCCCTCGGAATGTCCCCAGAGAACGGATCGTCGTAGGGGTCTTCAGTGGCGTCGAGTTCCGAACTGGGCGTGATCTCATGGCTCCGACGGAATGGCTCGACTAAACCATCGGTGTGACGACGACTTCCCTCCTCATGTGTCTCGCGGTTAGCAGCAGATGTCAACGAGCAAAAGCATGATTCGTCGTCCTCCGATGATATATCGATAAACGGAGCACCTGTGCCTTTGTTAGGATCATCTTCTGGCCTAGGCGCATGCCGTCGTACCGGAAAGCTTACGCCACTGGACACGGAGACAGGAGCGTTGATGCTCGCATCCTGCGATGAGCGTAGTGTCGGATCCCTGACATCGTCAGGATCTTGGAAGACGACTTCTGCCGCTTCTTTGAAGCCACGTGGTAATTGTGGTGTGCCAACATACATCATCATCAGGTCTTGAAGTGAATTGCCTCCATTGCTCGTGGAAGAATTGTGGGCTGATACCGAAAGTTTTGCCTATCTAACGTCATGTTAGGCAAACGTGTATTAGTATTGATGGTTTGTTCTTCTTGTTGATATTCTTCTTCTTTTTGTAGCTCACGAGATGCTCACCTCCCACTACAAAATGGTGCGTACATGGCTGGTTAACCCCATTAAGCGGAGTTACTCTAACCAAAGGAGTGGTGTAAATGCGCGCGTGGCCCGCCCACCCGCCCGGCCGGCGCGCTCTTTTGCTCGAGTGATTAACTGTACACACCTTCGGAGACAATTCCTCCGCATGAACCATGCCCTACCAACACTCTGCAAGGTAAAAAATGGAGGGTAGCATGAATGGACGAAGGGAGTGTTAGCAATGACTATAAGTTTATGGGGTAAGAAGGCACAGGGACACCGAAGCTCATCAAAACACCGAAGCTCATCATCATAACGAGAACACTGAAATAATTGGAAAATCGCATGGTAAACTGAACTGGCGGCTTGCGGATTGCAGATGGTATGTGACGGATGCTCGGGCAAATGAATTAACACACTGTACGATGAAAGACGGCTGTTGTTATGCTGTCGGCAGACCACAGTGGGTTCGTCCAACGGGGATGTCCCCTGCCGGCGGGCCACAATAGCAGCAAGCAGCCGGCAGCGCAGGTATCACCAATGACCCACGGTATCCCTCCCATGTCCTACAGCAAATGACCAACTCAACAGATGTGGGGATGCTGCTTAGATAGAGCTTGCCAATGCAGTGTAAAAGCTAGCAGACGGGAGTACAGCCACTATGGGAGTTTCGCATGAAGACCGATGTTGTTGTGGGTGGGCTGGCTGGTGGAACCTTCCTAATTCGATGGGGGATTCACTAGCGTGTTTTCTCAACAATGTCTACTGGGATGCTGGACAAATTGGGAAGGCAGCATGGGTTGTTGCAGGCAGGGCGGTCCATGGTTGGTCGTGGCGGCATGGGTTGTTGTAGGCAGGTAGGTTGGCACCTTCGGGTAGAAGATATATGGGGCGATGCGACGGTAAGGGTTCATGCTCCTCTTATTCAGATGGCAGTGCCGTGCGTCGGTGACGCAGTGAATGTCTGGAAAACTAAGCGTGTATTTTGTTGCGGGCGATGTGCTAGAATGCCGTGTAACAAGTGGGGTCGTTGATCGCGACTGGTAGCCATGCGGGGTGGGCATTGTAAGTAGTGGCATTGGGTTCCTGGCAATCGCTCGAAGTGCTGCCCAATCACGAATATGACGGGGTCGGTCTCGCAAGCGTGTTCCGTGTCGCCGTGTTCGCCCTCCACAAGTTGTGCCGATGTGTTGGGGTCGGTTGGAGGTGGCGTGACTGATACATCAGTACCAGTAAGTCGCTGGTTGGGTGGATCGGTTGGTTTTGGTATATGTCTGTGTTCTCTGTTCAGTATGTGTGTGCGGTATTTGGTGTCAGGGACAAAAAGCCAAGGCACTGCACTGGCAGGAACAGGGCAGGGAACAGTAACAGGAGGCGAGGGAAAAAGCACAGTACTAGTCACAAAAAGAGGACATACAAGGGGCACCGCAACACGCACAGCAACGCAAGGCGGAACGACAACGTATAGGTACGCAATGCAGGAAGACGCGTTGAAAGAACACGCAGGGCCATGTAAGGCAAATACTTGGGCGCACCCTTCAACAAGCCTCTCACATCTCACTCATCAACTTGCATTGTGAATTCTATCGCGAAGATGCTAAAATCGCGTAAATCGTGAGATAACGCCGGAACAAGGAGCAAAGAAGAGGAGGAGGAGGAGGAGGAGGAGGAGGAGAGGCGAGGAGAGCAAGACAAACAATGAATGAGTGGAAGCGAGCTAAAACATCGCCGCCCAAGGGCCTGGCAAAGCAGGCAGACCGCGGGAGGCTGACATACTGTCCTGCGAATGTGGCCAAGAGCACCCTTGCAAACGTCCAGACGAATTGGGTACTCAAACAGATGCTGCTGCAGCGCAGCGCCAGGAAGGAGAAGGGGAGAGGGAGGGGAGGAAGAAGGAGGCAAAAACAACTCGAAAAGTAGCAACGCATCCGCCCCCAGGCGAATAGAGCACAAGAGGTGAATCAATATGCAACCTGGTGCCGCGCATTGTCCTCACCCCTCCCCTCATCTCCTCCCTCCTCCTTTTCCACTTCTCACCCTTCCCCCTCTCCTCAGTCCCTACTACTGCTCCTCTTCCTCCTTCTCCTAATCCTCCTCGTCGTCATCATCATCATCATCATCATCATCATCATCATCATCATCATCATCATCATCATCATCATCATCATCATCATCGTCGTCGTCGTCGTCGTCGTCGTCGTCGTCGTCGTCGTGACCGCCACCATCATCATCATCATCATCATCATCATCATCATCATCAGCAGCAGCAGCATCAGCATCACCATCATCATCATCATCATCATCATCATCATCATCATCATCATCAATATCAGCATAACCATCATCAACATCATCATCACAATCGTCATCACCACCCTCATCACCATCATAATCATCATCGTCAGCATTATCATCAGCATACTCAGCATCATCATCTACATCAACATCAACACCATCATCAACATCAGCCTAATTTCACCATCACCCTCAACAACAACACCATCAACATCATCGTCATCTCATCACCAGCAGCATTAACACCATCATCGTCGTCATCATCACACATACCATCATCATCATCATCACCATCACCACCATCATCATCACCATCATCTTCATCATCAGCACCAACACCATCATCAGCATCATCATCAGCAGCATAATCATCATCGTCATCGTCATCGTCATCGTCATCACCACCACCACCACCACCGTCATCATCAACAGCAACAGTTTCCTCCTCCTTCTCCTCCTGCTCCTCCTCCTCATCATCCTCATCTCTCCCGCCCTCCTTTTCGCAATTCCTGATCGTCATCGCCTCTCTCCGAAGCTCCTCGGTCCTGTCTGCACGTTCCTCTTCCTCCCGGTTTTTGCTTCCCTCTCCCTTCCGACGGCGCTCCCAGTGGGGAAGGCAGAGGGGACGGGCCTTCTCAGAAGGCTCGGCTGAGCCTCCTCCGAAGACGCCGAGGGCCTCTCAAAGTCCCACCGCCTTCTCAGAAGGCCTGCCCCTCCTCTCGGAGCACGGCCGAAGGGAGAGTGCGGCAGCTCAGCATCGATCCCCAGAACCCCCCCCCCCCCGGGTCCAGTCCAGACGCACCAGTCTTCCGCTGCGCCCAGCCGTGGCGACGAGGCCCACCCCTTCTCCCCCCCGGCAGGCCAACCACCACTGCCGCAGCTCGCCCTCCTCTGACTCCGCGACTTCCCCCCCTCGGCGCACCGCCGCTCCTTCTCCTCCCCAGTCCCGCGTGATCCTTCTCCTCCCCTTTCCTTCTCCTCCCCTATCCTTCTCCTCCTTCTCCTCCCTTTATTTTCTTTTCTTTTTTTTTTGTCATATTTTTTTTTCTTTTCTTTTTTTTTTTTTTTATTTTTTATTTTTTCATTCATCTTATTTTTTCTTTTTTTTCCTTTTGGTGTGTGTCTTTTTTTATTCTTCGTCGGTTTTAATCGTTTCCTTATTTCATTCAATTTTTTTTTTTTTTTTTCTTTTTTTTTTTTTTTTCTTTTTCTTATTTTTTTTTTTTTCACTTTTTTTTTTTTTTTTTTGTTTTTTTTTTTTTCTTCCTCTATTTGGTTTTTTTTTTTTTTCTTTTATTTTCTCTTTTTTGTCTTTTTTTATTATTTTCCTTTTTTCGCTTCTCCTCCTTCTCCTCCCCTATCCTTCTCCTCCTTCTCCTCCCCTTTCCTTCTCCTCCTTCTCCTCCCCTATCCTTCTCCTCCCCATATCCTTCTCCTCCTTCTCCTCCCCGATCCTTCTCCTCCCCTATCCTTCTCCTCCCCTATCCTCCCCGATCCTTCTCCTCCCCTGTGAGCGCCCCGCCTGCTCCTCCGCAGTCCGCGTGAACAGGCCCATCCTGCGCTCCTGCGCGGCCTCGCCGCCGGAGACGACGATCCGCTCGGGGGCCGAGCTCCGCTCCCTGCAGGGGCGCACTGCTCTGTGAGCGCGGGAGGGGGCCCCCGCGGCAGGGAGCGGAGAAGCGGAGCGAGGACGGACGAACGACGGACGACGGACGGACGACAGGCGAGGACGCCGGGGAGGGGGGCGCGCTGCTCATCCTCACCCCGCATGCCCACTCCGCCCTCCTCCCCCCCGGAACTCGTCTGCGGGGAGCGCTCGACCGCGGGCCCCAGGGAGGTTCGCCCGAGCCCTTGCGCCAGGAGCTTGTGCCGGGGTGGGGGGCGGGTCCTGCCACGGGCGGAAAAGTGCTGGGGAAGCTGCAAGGCAGCTTCATATGAGTTTTCGAACTCTACGAAAAAATACCCGACTGCAGCTCACATGCTTGGACCAGCTCCTGGCGGTGCAGCTCTTCGGACTCGTAGCATGGTGACTCGTAACCTGGTCTCGCTGACACACAAAAACCGTGCGTCCTGAATGTTGTTTAAGGGCTCTATCGGGGACAACTCAGTGTGATTAAATTGCCTATGATGCGTCAACATCAATCAACAATTCACTGAGTGACGTGCCCACCCTCTTTAAACACGAGGCGACTATAGGCAGGACCACTCAACACAAGAGTACACATTAAGAGAGCTGCTATACTATTGAACGCTTCGCCAGAAAGAGTCGCACAATGCTCAACTTGACCTCTTTACGCACAAACCCTTGCGACTCAGAACGTAAACAGGAGGAAAGCGATGGGCGGGTCAAGGGCCGAGGTGACGGTAACAATGGGAGGATGAGGAAGGATCATCTGTCAATCGAGTAGTGCAGGTAACAACGCCGCGCGCCACATGTTCGGTACAGAACAGCGTGCCATGCGCGACATAACAGAACAGCGCGATGCGCTAATTGCACTGTATGATAACTACTTGCGCAGTTGGTAGCCCGCCAGGGAGGCAAGGCCTCAGTTGGGTCTGCGTGGGGCGCCGCTCCGTTGGCCCTCCCAGGAGCTCGCGAAAGTTAAAACAGCTGCGCAGATGGCAGCCCCCAGGGAGGCGAGGTCTCGCTGGGGTCTGCGTGGGGCGCCGCTCGCCTGGCCCTCCCAGAAGCTCACGACAAAACGGCAACACTTGCACAGCCGGCAGCCCCCCAGGGGGCCGCGGGCTCTCGGCGCGATCTGCGCGGGACCGCAAACTTCTGGCGACGGTTAAGCAGATGGCGGCCTCCCCGGGGAGCCGCGAACTCTCGATGCGATCTGGGTGGGACCGCACTCCGCGGGACCCCCCACAACGTCATGAAAGTGGCGACAGGTGGCAGGTTCCCCCCCAGGGAGCCGCGAGCTCTCGACGTGATCTGCGTGGGACCGCACTCCGCGGGACCTGCCAGAACCCCAAGAGCACCGCGACAGTTGCGCAGCTGGCAGCCCCCTCCCCCCAGTTGAGCGAACAGCGCTTCACCCATGACGAAGACTCAACAAAAGGGAGGGTCTCTTATGCGGGCAGGGATGCAAGGGGAGGAGGCGGGAGGAGGAGGAGGAGGAGGAGGAGGAGGAGGAGAAGGGGGAGGAGGAGGAGCAGGAGCAGGAGGAGGAGGAGGAGGTCGCGCAGCCAGTGCTCCATCCCAGGAGGTATCTCAGCCACGGAAGGGCTGGGAACTATGACGCTCATGTCTGCCCTCTTCACCCTCCTCCACTTCCACCTCCGCCTCCGCCACCTACGCCGCCACCTCCAGCTGCTCCTCATCATCCCCCCCTTCTCCTCTCCTCCTGTCCGCCCCTCCCGCCTTGCCTCGCCCTTACCCGCCTCCTTCTCACGGTCCCCCCGCGGATGGGCGGGCGCCCTAGCGCTCGGAGGGCGCTGGCGAAGGACGTCGCGGCGAGGTCATACTGCCTCTTCGACATGAAGTCCTTCAACCACCCTCTCCCCGCCCTCTTCCTCCGGCGTGTTGTTGTTGCTCCTCCTGCTCGCCCTCTCTTCCTCCCCATGCCGCCTCCTCTTTGGTAAGGCTTCGGGTTGCGCACCGACCTCCCTCCCTGCCGGTAGTCCCCCTCCACAGGCCTCCCGAGTAGTCCCAGCTGGCCTGAGCAGGCCTCCCCGAGTAGTCCAGGGCGGTCTCAACACTCTGACGCCGCCTCCGGCGGCACCCCCCAAGGCGCTCCGCACCCCAGGGCTGGGGTGTTGAAGCCGCCCTGGGCCACTCGGGGAGGCCTGCTGAGGCCACGTGGGACTACTCGGGGGCCTTGTTGAGGCCAGCCAGGACCACCTGGGGTGGCTGTCTATGCGCAACCCGAAGCCTTACCACGCCTCCTCCCTCCATTCTCCTCCTCCTGCTCCGCCGTTTCTCTGGGCTTCTTATCCCACCAGCACTCTGGGCGCAGGTGGTCTAAAGCGCTTCCTTTCTAATCTCCTTCCTTTCCCTGCTCGGAAGGTTTACCTCCCCC